GAGATGGCTCAGCAGTTAAGAGCACTGCCTGCTCTTCCAAAGGTCCTGAGTTCAATTCCCAGCAACCACATGGCGGCTCACAACCATCAGTTATGAGACCTGGTGTCCTCTTCTGGTGTGCAGATATACATGGAAGCAGAATGTTGTGTACATAATAAATAAATAAGATCTAAAAAAAATACTTTATATTTTTTAAATCTCAATTTAAAAATTCACAGAAGTCACTGTGTATCCACTGTGCAACTTCTGCAAGCCACCGCCAGGCTACACTTGAGGTACAGGGGTGATGGGGAGTGATGTTGACTCAGCTCTTCCTGGCAGCATCTTGAACTTCTCAAAGTACATCACACATGCTAACTCATTTGCAATGCTCACAGCCAACTCTAAACATCATTAATGTGATCCTTAGATTCCTCCAAAGCAGAAAATGAAAGCCTGGATCTTAAGAAGCCAGTTCAAGGTCAAAAAAACCGAAGGAATAGAGCTGAGATTCAGAGAGGAGCAAAGCGTATGTGACTGTGTGCTCTGACATTACTAAAGCCCTCAATGGGAAATCGGCAACCTGCCAGGACATTGCTCCCCTCAGAAGCATCCTCAGCCAAAAGCCCAGGATTGTCAATCCCTGGTTGTTAGCCTAATTAAGTGGCCCTCTTGCTCTACAAGTCCTAAGTAAACACATCTGCAGAAATATCACATCAACCTCCACATTCCCACAGGGTTTGGTGGCATAGTTGCACTATCTTGAGTGAAACTGGAAGTTCCTGCATCCTATGTCATTTTTCCCATGGGAACATGAGCCACCTTGAGCTAGAGCACTCCCCAGTGAGAAGGCAATGACAGGGTGAGAGTGTGGGGAGCGAGGCATCTGTGTCACTTCTCTTCTGTGTGGAGACTCAGGGACTAAGACCAAAACCACAGGTGTTTTTCTCAACTGTGTTCACTAATACAGTCTGTGGTGAAGAGCCACCTTGAATAACAAGGTCAAGTCTGCACTTGCCTGAGTCATCATTCCTAGCTGCTCTCATCCCCATCATTAGTACTGTGTGAACCTAACAGCTTTGGATCCCATCATAGCCACTACTACACACTGGCTCCCCTTACAAAGGCTTTTGTCCAAAATCAAGCCCTTAGACTATTTGTATCTTATTCTTTTATGTGTGAATATCCTCTAGAAGGATTCTAAGTTTTTAATAGATATGTAAATCTTTTGACCAAAGAATCAAAAGAGTTCATGTTTGTTAGGCATAGACTCACCCAATAAAACTGGATTGTTTATCTACGTATAAATATTTTAACACTCCATTTTACTGATGTAAAACACGATAAAAGGAAGATAAGCAAAACTTCTAACTACGTGGTTGGAAAGGGGAAAATCAACTTGGGGGTGGGGGCTCAGGGAGGGTGATAATGAAAATTCCAGAAGAGTAATGCCATAATGGCTTTCTGTGCCTGTTTTATATGCTTGCCCTGGCTGTCATGAATCCTTGCTTCAGATAAATCATACCCAGGCTCTGCTATCTTAACTACTGGTAAGAGAATGTCCTATGCTGATTATAATGCTGGGCAAATGTTAGTTTTAGACTCATTAAGCTGTCACTGGCACTCATGCAAACAGTATTTAAACTTCAGGTACTTGGCAGTATGCATGCATGTTGGCAGCAGAGATTCTAGAGACATGAACCCAGGATTGAGATAAGGAAGGAAAGCTCTACATGCATGAGCCCTTCTGTATATATTATGATCATTTAAATTCAAATGTTTGAAACAGACCTCAAAGGCAATGACTCCAAAGGATGAGCAAGGTCACTGTGGGTCTCAGCATTCTCCTGAACTGTCTGAAACATCCAAACATCTGAGTTTCCTTTTTCTACCCCTGGATCTAGAACATTCTCCAGTCCAGTAGGTTTTTCTGAGATAACGAAAGACTTCAGGGCTTAACAGTCAGACAAACCGGAGTTCAAATCCTGGTGATTGTGTGTATGAGAGCTTGGGCATGGCACCTTCAATCTTTCTGATCATTTTGCTCCCACTCCACAAAACTGAGATAATAGAAATGTTCCAGGTGGCTCTATGCATCAGAGACAATGTAAACTAAGTTCCCAGAATCGTGCCAACTCTAAAGTAAGTCTTCATACTATTGTTATTTAATATCTGGCATCAAGTGCTGAAAACCAGACAAGAGCTGCTTAGGAAAGTATCCAGGGGAAAAAAAAAACAAAACGATTCTAACCCAGCTCCTCTCTAAATTTCACAGTGACAAAGCAGGGTTTCCTCACCCCTCTGTTTGTTTTACATACATTCAGATCCACGCCAACAATGACCTTTTGAGGAAAAAAAAAAAAAAAAGAATCCCTTCAGCAAGTTCTGAATCCTTTCATATGCTAAAAAACGTTCACTACACGTCTGGGAGATAGTATTTTCCCAGCTCGGAAGCCATTTTCCGACAGGTGCCACAGTGCTGATAGCTTGAGAGAACCCCCAGAAGAATGGTCTTTCCCCATGGGGTGGTGGTGGCTCCCCTTTTAGGATAATGTGCTGAAAGCTCCTTGCTCAACCACAGAGGCCTCCCTGCCTCTGAGGATCTAGCAAAAGGGTTTACACCATGTCTGGGGTCTGAAGACCCTGGTTTTCATGTGATGTTCCACAGACTCCAACACACATCTCATTAATACACAGTTGAGGGGGTCTCAGGAGGGTCTGGTAGTCTACCCAATCCCCAGGAAATGTCATAAGAGTTGGTGAGCAATACTTGAAAGAGAAAAGGACTTCAGGGCCATACCAGGGTCTCACAGCATTCTGTCATTCTTGAACTTCAAGAACCAATTAGGCAATTATCAACTAACTTTAAGTACAAAACTATCTGGCTACAGTGGCACACACACACACACACACACACCAGGAAGGCTGGAAAAGGATGATAGTATGAATTTGAAGCCAGAGGCTAACCTGAGCTACAGAGTGAGAGACCCTGTCTCAAACACTGAAACAAAATAAAAATAATACAAGGCTAACAGAATATGCCCAGAACTCTTGACTTCCATAAAGAAATCAGCAAATTTATAAACTGTACTAGCCGGGCATAGTACTTGGGGAGGGGAGGGTTTCACCTCAATCCCAGTAGGATTTTGAGTTCGAGACTAGACTAGACTTTATAAATGAGTCCCTGTCTCAAGAAACTAAAACAACAACAATGCTATTAGCGTACTTGGAGACTGATGTCACTTTCTCAAGCTAAAAGAGCCCTTCCCATCATACAAATTAAAATTCTTTACTTTTTCTTGTTAGAGCTGTAGATCCAGCAGGCTGCTTCACTGAGTAACTGGTTAGTGAGAACACATGTGCCAAGACACACTGTTAATGCCTCTGAATGAGATAGGGTAAGCAAAATGCCACACTACTTTAAGAAATCTGGAAAAGTTGGCTAAAAAGAGCGTAACAAATAGAATAATCAGGCACTGATGGTTTCTGAAAGCCTGACATGCGTTCTGTAACTGTCACTGATTTATGTGACGTCTGACCTTTAAGGGACTGAACAAATGAGCAAACCATTTCAGGAACACGGTCCATGTTAAATTAGAAGCTTTATATGGCAGTGATAGGAAAACAACATGTCCTAGGAAATATTGTGGCCACATGGATGAAACACAGGACTGGAACCAGGCAAGCAACCCTGCAGCCAGTACTACCAAGTCGTTTCACCAGCTGGATGACCTCGCTCATCCAGCACACCTCCTAGAGTCTCTGCCTGCCGACTGAACATGTCCCTCACACGTAGACTACAGCTCAACCCTCCTAACCATTTCACACAGGAGCCGTAGCCCCTTCTGGAACTCACATAAGTGAAACAGCTGACACCCATCATCCTCATTGTCAATAGATAATCTAAAAGCACAGTACAACTGATGGTTCGTACTTTCATATAAGCCAACTGACCTGCCCATGGAAGCACTTCACACCTGAGCCCTGTGAGTGAGGCAGAGCATTTCCTGCATAAAAAGCACTGGAATTTGCTGGTTGGCCACAGGATAGGTGAGACAAACTCTTCTTTGAGTTCATTTCTGGGATTTGTCTTATCTTATACCACCCAAGTTGTTCCTCAGGCTGGTACAAGTGCGTTAACCCAGTTCCTTGTATAGATAGGGTCTTTAAAATAAAATCAGACAAACAATAAACATTTAGGGATATGTGCCCCCTCCATCCTGAGAGACTGGAACGGAAGTCAAGAATTCGATGATGCAAAAACCAAGTCACTTGTTACTTCCAAAAGGCTTCAAACAGAGAACCTTGGTCCTCTCCTTTGGGGACGGGAGCCACCTGTTCTTGTTCCCTGATTGCACAGGGAATCACCTAGGAAGCACTTCAAAACCACGTTTCTTGGCCCTGTGTGTGATTCATTTTAACAAGCACCCACGTGGCTGCCAACAACCCCCCCCCTGCTGGGCTGTAGAACATGTTTTCTTAAAGATCATTGCTTTTCTTGAATCTCAAACAATCTTGACGTTTGTTTTCACTCAAAGCAACCATCCCGTCTACCCACAATTCTCTCCGCCACTACTTTGCCCACAGAGACCGTGACAGTTGTACACTCTGTCCCAACACAAGGTCAAAAGCAAGCCAAGTGCCAAGTGTTTCCTTGTTGCCGGCTGTATTTTCAAAACAAAACGCAAATGAGAAGGAAGCCATTCCTCTCCATTAAGTTTACATCCACAATCCAATCCATTCTCATCAACTCGCAAACTTTTTCATTTCATCCTCTGCCACCCAAGTTTTTCGCGGAACAGTACATGTTCTCAGATCTTCCGGCACACACTGGTAGCAAACTCAGTTGCTCGGCTTTGCTCGTGGCTCACAAACACAGGCATTTGCACTG